GAAAGGGAGGGGCGGAATGGTACCAGAGTGGGAGATTCCATGGGGGGGGGGGTGTATTTTGCAAAATGGACGGCAGGACGTGCCCTATTGCTGATATAATGGTTGTTCAGGTTGCGTTGCTTCTTCATTGAGTCCGTGTGTGACGATGAACGTATTATCGATAGCAACATTACGGACGTGAAGGTCAGCATTTTTTTCACTTCCGCTCTGGTATAGTGGGTAAGGGATTAAGTATGCGGTAAGCATTATCAGTCTCAATTGTGGGTTCCCATCTATTATATTGTGCAGAAAGTGCATTTACTTTAATGCACTTTTGGATCAATTTTTGGGGTAGTAGCGCTATATTGTTTCTTGGCGCAATTCGGCTTGGTGGGAACATTTTGCTGGCTCGCATCGCTCGCTGTCGGTGCCTCCTATGGTGACCTGTGAACTCTTGTAAAACCTTGTAATTGCGCGAGCTTTATTTACACTCGACAAATGTCTACAGGTCTCACCAAGGTGAGGCGTGTAACTTAGTACGAACTAACAAAAGATGCTTGCGAAAGTGCAGAAAGCCCGCTACCTCAGCCAACAGCGCTTTGTTCCTGTCAAGAATGTGTTGGTCGTGTTATTGATTTGATTTCATGAAATGAGCTTGCTGCTGTTTCCCATCGCCCAATCCCAGCGTTCAGCGTGCTAGTATTTCCTGTCAGTACCAATTCCACTGGAATTATTAGAAAGCTGTTCGGCTTTGGGGGAAGGGGAGGGCATTTTGCGGTTCCGTTAGTTTCTTTTTCTCGTTTTGTTTTAAATCATACGTCAAATGATGAACCTATAAACTTGTCAAGATAAGCGAAGCTCATCCCGCTGCACGGCTTCACAGAAACTTACAGCTCTCCACGTGTAGCATGATCGATAGGAACGGTACAAATGCCCCGACCAGGCCAAATTGTACCGTTCTTTTTTGCTCAGGATGGTAGTGAGCTATGTCTTGAAGGTCTGAATATTACCATTTAGGTGAATTCACCTGACTACAAGGGATTGATGTCTGCTGAACAAGCGAAGGAGGATTTCTTGAAGCGAATTGAAAACTATAAGCAACAGTATCAACCAATAGATGAGGTGGAGGATGAAGCGCTCAGTTTCATAAAGGTTAGTGCTCAACACCTGCTTCTCTCCTTTAGGGTAATATTAAGATGATACAGTGCGAAAAGGCGCCGCATGATCCCTTAGTCTACATTAGCTCCCAGTTTTTGAAAGATAACCAAGGAAGAACTATTTATTTCAATGCTCACCGCCAGAACTTATCACTACGCGTTGAATCATGTGTCGAGCCTTAGAACCACGGTTTTTCTCCACTATGGAGTTGGTTGAAACGCCTGGAGCTTCCTCTTCTCCTCTGGACTCAGGCAGAGACACTACACGATTGTTTCTCCGCACATTCCATGAAAATGAATGCACGCAGGATACACCATCGAGATTGGGAGGAATGACGGTGTCAAAGGACATCCTCCGCGACTTCGTCCCCCTTACACGACCCTCTTCCAGACTTACAGCACTTTTCTCATTCGGAACTGTGCACTTTTCTCTCCTCCCCCAAAAAAAAACTACCTTCAACCGGGGTGATGCAAGGAGGGGATCTTCACCAAACAACTACTACTTTCAGCTACTACCTTCAACCATCAAAAATATGTGGTAGTATATTTATTCAATAGATAGGACAATTTGGCGCAGCCCACGAACGGAAGGAGGAGGGGCGGAAGAGGATGTGGTGGGGGGGGCGGTAGGTAACTTGTAAATACACTGACGAGGGAAGAAGCGTCGACAACAGGGAACAAATTTTACTGCCTACTCGAGCAAAAATTTCTGTCAAGTCCGGGATGCGACCTCGATAAAGTACCGCCTCTTTCTCCCTTGATAAACTCTTGTCGACGATGTTGCACCCTGAATGCACTACCCTAGTGAAAAAGTGCCTCAAAATGTTTCGTAGATAGTCACAGTGGATGAAAAATAAGTCATCCAGTTTGATTTCACTGAAAAATGCATTTGTGAAATCAAAGAAGGGTTTCTTTGTCGCTAAACATGGCAATGCAGAGGTTGGGGGTGGGGGCAGGGATCCATGGTTCGACGATGGGCATTAGGAACCTCCTAATGGCACTGACAATTCGGAGGAACTCCAGTAGCTGTTTTATGTCTTCTAATTAATTTATGTCCTGCCAGGGTGCACTTTTTCCCTATTAGAGTATTTCAAAGATGATCTGCGTATAATCCGAGGGCCGCCGTTTCTTCAGGTCATCAATGCCGGTCGATCGTTTTTTGTACATAATGTCCAAGGTCATGTTCAAAGTCGTGTTGTTTACTTTCTTGATGAACATGTCATCTTCCTGCAGCGAAGTATTTTCCTCACAGGTGAGTTAGCTAACTAGGATGGTCGATCACGTCGAAGTGGCCGTATTAGTAATGAGGACCTAGACCACTAGACGTATTTCAGACGCTGATTTGCGGGGCATGGCAGAAATCTGCATTCCAAATTTGCAAAGCGATTCTGTGAACGGAGTTATGACGGGTCGTTTGGCTGAAGCGGCGCGGGGTCGGCGGCAGTTGCCAGCCAGCGGGCATGAGTAACCGGGATGCAGCGCCTCATCCAACGGCGGCGGTGGCACAGAGGTAAGAGTCTAGGTTCATGGGCACACGATGAAGGTTCGGATCCCGAGACTGTGGTTCGTTTTGCATTCCGTGGAGGACGTCCTACGACTATGATAAGCACTTCAAGCGTTGATGTGACCACATTTTTCAACTGGGGCTGGGTGATCAGTGTGATCTACATCTTATGGGAATAGATCAAATTGTTCCGGATCAATGTCTAGAGGCTGCGAAATGACGTGGCAAGCGTGGGAACTTACCAGTAGGGTGAAAGCAGTACTGGTTCGCAGCTATAAGGATTATGTTCTGTCCAAAGCTGGTAGTTTCGCACTTATTGAAGGAATTCGGCTCTTGTGATCTCGAGCGTGCCCCATCGAATGTAATTCCCATAACTATAAGATGTATATCACACTGATCGCCCAGCCCCAGTTGAAAAATGTGGTCACATCAACGCTTGAAGTGCTTATCATAGTCGTAGGACGTCCTCCACGGAATGCAAAACGAACCACACTCTCGGGATCCGAACCTTCATCGTGTGCCCATGAACCTAGACTCTTACCTCTGTGCCACCGCCGCCGTTGGATGAGGCGCTGCATCCCGGTTACTCATGCCCGCTGGCTGGCAACTGCCGCCGACCCCGCGCCGCTTCAGCCAAACGACCCGTCATAACTCCGTTCACAGAATCGCTTTGCAAATTTGGAATGCAGATTTGAAATCAACGTCTGAAAATACGTCTAGTGGTCTAGGTCTCATTACAAACGGCCACTTCGACCTGACGACCATCCCTAGTAAGTTGGAATAATCAATCATCCTTGATTTATTGCCTTGTTTACAGCACGGTCCAAAGCGAGCGGAGTTACAAACGCGTGGGACGCCTTGCGTGGTGATCCCCTGTTAACTGCCCGAAGAGTTGAAAAGTTGCCGAGCGTTGAGGTCGATTTTACGAGAAAGCAGAAATTTTCCGATCTCCGAATCTGGGGGTGGTGTGTGTGTGTGTGTTCTCAAAAGGTACCCGCAAGCATGAATTTCGAACATTCCATGTTTTGTTTCCCGAGCAAAATCACATTCTCCCGCTTACATTTTCATTTGATGGGGTATGTTTTAATGAAGTATATTTTCTGCGAATTTGAGGTCCGTGCTGCACAAACAGCACAAAAATTGAAGTCTGCATATCACACTGAATATTGGAAAGCATTGGATGAAATTGATGCTGGTATATGCGAGGGACTCACCTACGACGACATACAGATGAGGTTTGATTCGTTCCATGATATAATCTTCAGAACTTTTCTGGCTCAGTTTCTTGGTGGGGCATTTTGTTCGTTCGTGCCGATGGCTCCGCTGGAGACTTAGTAGAGTCCTGAAAGGCTATGCAGTTGCAGGCGACCTTACACTGACAAGCTTCCTCACGTCTTACCAAGGTGAAATGTGGAGTTCGGTAAAGGTAGGCAAAGTACAGAATGCCCTTCCCTTAGCTCAACAATGCCTTCTTCTGTACGGTGAAAAAAAACAGAGATGTCTTTTACTTTGTCACCTCAAGTTTTTCACCATTCGACATCCACTGAAAGAACG